CTCTCTCAAGAATAATAAATAAATAAACATTAAAAAAAAAAAAAGAATCAAATTAGAAGAAATGAGTCTGGTTCCATAATACTGGGGATACGAAAACTATTGCGCCTGTCGGTCGCACTGAATGCATATTCTGAATCACCTGTTGTTTCTCCCAACTCTGGACTCAAAAAGGACCAGCGGATCCCGTTCTAGCGATTTCTGGGGCTCGCCTATTGAGTCCTTATAATGGGAACATCGCAGTGTGGATGCGAGCCCTCTGATTAGAACCCAGCCTGTGGCAGGGACAAGCGCACGCTCCGTGCCCAGGCTTCATCCTACCGCAGCACAGAGAGCCCGTCCCACTGTTGTTCCCAGCCGGGACCATTGTGTCCCCGACGCTCTGCATCTGGTGACGGGACACGCCGGGGCGCTGGCCGCACCATTCACCCCGAAAGTCTAACCAGTGGTGCCCCCCGCCGGTTGCAGGGCGTCTAACATCTCCCATCTCTCTTCCAGGCAGCCAGGCAGCCGCCGGGGCAGAAGAGAGTCCAGACGTCTTCAGCTGCCTGGTTTCCGGCTGCCGGGCCCCGCTGCCCTCCTGCGACGCCGTCCCCGAGAAGCAAAGCCTGGTGCTGGTGTGTCGGCGGGTGCTGCCTCAGCTTCTCCAGGGCAAGTTCCCCTCCCCCGTGCAGGACGAGATAGACACCGCCCTTGCTCGATGTGGGGAGGACGCCAGCCCAGACCCCGAAGTCCTCGGGGCCGCCAGCCGCCTGAAGGACCTCTTGAGGACCCTGAGAACCTGCGACCCCAGATTCGCCTACCGCTACCCGGATTGCAAGTATAATGAGAAGTTCTGAGGGGCCCGGGGCCTTTGGTGGCCCGGCGGGGGACCACATCCTTGGCTCCTCCCCCCCTCCACCCCCACCCCCCCCAGTCGCGTGGCTGCAGGGTGCAAAGAGGCGGCTGTGTCCCCAGACATTAGGAGAAATGCACGTTCATTTCCCAGGACCCGAGGAACCTGCTGACAGCCAGAGGGGGCTTGTGTCACACGATGTGATTGTCCCAGGGCCGGGCGGTGGCAGACTCGGGTGTGGACACTCCCTGGACCTCTCGGAGCCTCAGTGTCCCCTGTTCTCCATCAGACTCACGAGTTCATGAAAGAAGACAGGGGGATGTGAAGGGTCACAGACACCTGCCGGTGGTTACAGAGTGTTCCAGAAGTGTGTGCAGGCAGGGCAAATGAGACAGAGCCGTGGAGGTGGGGGCCGTTGGGAAGGAAGGCAGGGGGAGGGGGAGGCCCTCTGGCCAAGACCCTGTTAGACTCCAACGAGAGGGGCCCCCTTCTTGCTCTCCGTGTGCTCCCACTGGCCCTCCTGCCGTGCTCCCCACACTGCCATGGGTCAGGGGGAGGAGACACATGGACAGGGCCACACTCCGGGTGAGCCAAGGGTGAGAAGCGATGACAGGTGGGCTGGGGGGGGG